GCCACAGGTAAGTTGCATAGGAGAGGGGAAAGAGACCCCTGGTCCCATCTCCCAGTGCTGAAATATCCCATCTAGAGCAAAATCCTCTCAATTTCTTTCTCACAAAAAGTATATTCTGATCTTACTTCCATTGTTATTAATTATTCATTCTTCAATTTTAGAGAACCTAAACTCATACCCAACATAGTAGGTCAGCAGTTTCATTCCCCTATATCACTGTCTGACTGCCTGTATTTCTAACTAACTCATCTGCCCATAAACTTAAGAATCATTTATCAACTTTTCTTAGCATAATTGTAGCAAATAAAATGTACTTAATGGATATAGTGAAATATATGTTTAAAATGAAAAAAATAATTATTACAGTTTCTCTACCTAGCATCACAAAACATTTTCAGCTTTCAAGTATGTGGAAAAATAAAAACTAAAAACAACTCTCAGCAAATACCCATAGTATAAAGGACAGTATATCATTCATCGTATTTACCATGTTATCTGTGGATATTTTGTAGAGTGAAAAAGAAAAATTGAGCCGTTGAATGAACAAATATCAATTTCAATAATTGTGCTCATAGAACTACATGGTTGAGAATTGTAGAAAAAATTTTTTGGTACGAGGGATTGAACTCATGACTGTTATACTCTAGAAAAAATAGCTTCATTATATTTGAATTATAGCAAATTCCCTGTAACATGTCGGTACCATGTATATGTTTTCCTTCTCCATCTGGGTGACCTAATTGATATGTTAATCAATGCTCTCTTCTGTAAAGAATTTTAAAATCTTACCTAATTGATATGTTAACCATTGCTGCCCTCTACAAATAACAGATGTAGTGCTAAAATAAGCTAACAAAGGTTGTTAATTGCTACTAGACTTCTCTATTCTCTGCTGAAGGAAACAGAATTGATTCCTGTTTACAGGAAATCTTGCTTGTTTGCAGGAAAATCTTGTTACCTGAACTTTGCTCTTCCCAATGTAATCGCTGTGATCTTGTTCTGTAGTGCACCCCAGCCACCCTCCTTATATTGTGAGACCAGCAGCTGTTTGCAGTTTTACAAGATAAAAGCCTGCCTTTTAGCTGGGAGGTGTGCAGTCTGCAAATTGGCTCCTGGAGACTGTGTCACTAGGCCTGGCCTAAAATAAAGCCTTTGCTCCCTAAATTTTAATATCTTGATTCCTTAAATATTATTCCAGGGTCTGAGTTATCACAATGAGCTTGTGCTTGACTGGGTGGTGCCTGTACCACTGAGTTCAATGCCCAGCCTGAACAGCCTTAGATTCTAAATATCACTATTACTACTGTTTAATTTGCCATTGAAAGATTTAATTGAAAATTTTGTTCATCTCTTCACAAATGAAATTATTTTCTTTCCTTGCAGTTTAAATCACTTTTTTTAGGTACTGGGGATCAAACTAACAACCTGGCACTGGCCAGGCAGGTACTTCTGCCTGCTGAGCTAAAACCCAGGCCCCTATTAAATGATATTTTATTAAATATATAAATATCACTTTGTCCATTCAAATAGTATTGTGATTTTACTACAGGAGGCCAAGGTACACAGAAATTGATATACAGTCAGAGAGGAAATGGACCCTCAAAGGAATCAATGTAAAAAAACTAAATACGGGGGCTAAAGATTTAGCTCAGTGGCATAAGCACCTGCTTTGCAAGCAGGCAGTCATTAGTACGATCCCCGGTACTGATAAAAATGAAAAAGACAAAAAAAAAAAAAAAAAAAAAAACTAAATACAACAATCACTGCTAGAGGCACAGCTGAAGCAAGCCAGACCTGAATGTGCAGACGCAGTAACCATGTCTACATGCCTCTTAAAGAGAAAAACAATGTGATAGCTCGGACAACAGAATAAAATCCAAGGAAGCAAGAAATTAAAATTTGGGGAGCAAAGACTTTATTTCCATGCCTGGGAGCACAGTCTCCTTAGGATCGATCCAAAGACCGCACACCTCACAGTTGGGGGAAGAGGCTTTTAAAGCTGAAAATCACAGAAATGTTGTAATCACTGACACAGTTAGATAGCATCTGGGCTTTACAAAACTTCCTGAAATTTCCTTGAAGTTAAGCATTTTCTAAAGAACAACACATTTTATTATAGACCACCGAGTAAGGAGGGGGTTATAAGAAACTGAAACCTAAGGCTTTTATGGCCTTTCAGGAAATTGAAACTTAACCTAGATAGATAGGAAGGGGAAAGGTGGGAGGGGGAAGGGGAAGGCAGTGTAGCGCATACAGAACAGAATTAAGGCACAATGTTAAAGCTAGGCTATAACATTCCCCTCTGATGTTGTAACATAGGCCAAATCCTTGGCCTTATTATTCTATTATTACTTAAGTGCCTCTGGGAACATGCCCATATGCTTGTTGTCTAACCATCATTAATTTTATGTTTTGCATCTACTATCTGATATACATAGCTTATTGATTATGCAGGGGCCTAGAGTATCTAATACTAGAATCATAACAAGAGGACCAGCTAACATCGCTATTATACTAGTCATCCATGGTGGGAGGGAGAACATTTGTTCCATCCACTGCAGAGATCCTTGTCTTAGTTTTTCTCTTCCCTGTAGACATTTCTGGAGCTCAGCCAAATTTTGTTTTACTATCCCAGACTTATTAGCATACAGGCAACATTTTTCCCCTAATGCCAAACACAATCCTCATTTTTCAGCTAATAGGAGGTCTAGCCTTCTACGATTTTGGAGAGCTACTTCAGCTAATGCACCGATTGAGTTTTCTAAGGCCTCAATGGCATTGTGAATTTGTTTCATTCCTTCATCTACCCGTTTGGATAAAATGTGGTAACGGTGTGTACTAACTCCCAGGGAGGCAGCCCCCAACCTGAGGGCTGAGAATATACTGATTCCAGCCATAATAGGAAGAACTGGACTTCTCTTATCTATTTGGTGGCTGGTAGAGATGAGGGCCCTATTTTCTTCTTCTTCAGAATGCCAGTAAATTCTAGGCAGGATCTGGGTGAGCACACAAACTTCATTCTGGTCAATAACAAACTTTCTTGAAGCAATACAGGGGTACCACCCCAAAGTACAAGCCCACTAATGGCTGGCTGGGGCCACTATGGGAGTATTATTACCAGACCCTGTAATGCGATAGGAATGGGAGAGATCACAATATTCAGGAGCCGTGTGGCTGCAGTGATATATCTAGGGCCCATTTAAACCCACTAGATTGGTACTTTTCCACAGAGATTGAGGGAGAAATATATCACATCTGGTGGCTAGTTTACTGGTGACTGTGATGTAACCCTTGTAGAAGGGAGGCTCAGAGGACAACATAGACAACACGGGATTGTCAGACCACTGTCAATGGAGCCATTAATTAGCTCAGCTACTATTTCTAAGGGTTTGGAATATCTCCATCATTGAGTGTGGCATGGGGGTTTCAGGCTCAGCACCAGTTACTAACGAGGGTGTAAGTTCCTGTCTAGACTTCACTGGGCCAGTTTCTTGTGGCCTCTTAGTGGTTGCAAGTTGGAATGGGGTTGATCTGGACCAGGCACCTCAACTTTGATCCAATATTTGATGTCCTCTTTCTTTTTCCACATGCACATTTTTACTTGGGGTTGGTTTGTATCATATAGAGTTCCATTACAAAGGGCTTCAGGCACTGGAAGCATTGGAGTGCACCTCCAGAATCGGCATGGAATGGACATTGGCACCTTTATTGGAGTAGGGACCACCACTGGGCAGCATTCCCTTTTGTATTGAACTACAGGAGCTTTTCTGGTGGTTTATATAGAATGTTAATATTAACTCCAGGGTCATATCCAGTGCAATAGATCTTAACCCAGAGTACCTCCTTTTCGGTGGACACTGCTGCGCCAGCCACTCATTTGCCATTCTGGATGAAGAAGTTTCCATCAATGAAATAGTTGTTGGCATCTCCCAAACCCTGATTGGTGAGATCAGCCCATAGGTTCTGTTGTAGATCGAGGATGTCAGCACACTCATGGAGAGGTGTATGTTGACTTTCTGGGTCATCATCGTGCATAAGGGTGGCTGGGTTTAAAGCTGCAGAAGCCTTGAAATCTACTGACTCTTGGTCTAGCAGCAGAGCCTGATAGTGTAAAATTCTAGCGTTTGAGAGCCATTTTTTAGGAGGGGTTTTGAGAAGAGTCTCTAAACTGTGGGAGGTCACCACAGAAATCTTTTGTATAAGAGTGAGTCTTTTAGCCTCCTTGAGTAACATCACCACAGGGGCTAGGATTCTTAGGCATGGGGACCACCCTCCTGCTACTGGATCGAGTCTCTTAGAGAGGTAGGCTATTAGCCTCTTCCAAGGGCCAATGTCTTGAGTCAAGACTCTTTTTACAATGCCTATGAGCTCATCTATGAACAAGATAAATGGCTTGGTAACATTAGAGAGTCCCAGGGCTGGAGCCTCGGTCAGGGCCTGTTTGAGCTATTAGAAGTCCTGCTCGCAGTCATTGGTCCAGTTTAATGGCTTTTGGGTCTCTCCCTTAAGAGAGTCATACATCAGGTGAACCATTTCAATGAAATTTAGAATCCACAGCCTACAGTACCTGACAGCTCCCAGAAACTTGCGTACTTGTTTCGTAGTTTCTGGGGTTGGTATCTGTAATATGGCTTGGACTCTTTCTCTAGACAAAATTATTTTGCCTTCTTGTAACTTGTGGCCCAGGTAAATCACAGACTTGTGGCACAACTGGGCCTTCTTAGCTGAGACTTTATAGCCTAATTGCCCCAAAGTCTTTAACAGTTCCTTGCTTGCCTCTCGACAAGTCTCTAATGAAGAGGAGGCTACCAACAACTCTTGCACATACAGAGCACTATCTTGGGGTGTTCTTACCTAAATCTCAAAAGATCTCTGGCTAGTGCCTCATCAAAAAGTGTGGGCGAGTTCTTAAAGCCCTGAGGTAAGTGAGTCCAGGTCAGCTGTTCCTTCACTTCTGAATCTGGGTCAGTCCACTCAAAGGCAAAAAGGAGTTGACTCACCTGTGCGAGGGGCAGAGTGAAGAACACACCCTTGAGGTCCAAAACGGAGTACCAGTTGTTCTCCGGATTGAAGAGGGCACTGTTGGATGTAGAGTCAGTACTCATCTATTAACCTCTCGGAAATCCTGTACAAGGCGATAGTCATTTGTCCCGGCTTCTGGACTGGAAGTAGAGGTGTATTCCTTGGAGAGACACAGGAATTAAGATACCATTGTCTCTTAATCTCTGAATGTGGACTTTGATCCCTTTTCAGGCTTTGATCCCTTTGTAGGTTTAACGGGTATTGCAAATGGGGTGTCCCTAGGGTAGGAGCTCCACCACAAGGGGCAGCTGGTTAATTGCTAGCCCTGGGGGGTTGGTTTCTGCCCAAACTTCTGGGATTTCCTGCTTCCATTTGCTTAACAATTTTAATTCTAGGTCAGTTTATAATGGCTCAGGTACACTCGAAAAATTTCCCAGTAGGCAGTAATTTTCTCCTACTGGGACAAGAGCTAGCACTCTGATGCCTTCTGAGTCCAGAATTGTATCCACCCCCAGTTTTAGTGTTGGCTCAGGTGTAAAGAAGTCAATATGCACTTGCAATATATGGAGGAGGCCTCGTCCCAAGAGAGGGTCTGGACACTCAGGAACTGATAGAAAATCATCTTGGACCAGTATATGTCCAGGTCAAGCAAAACTAGCTGTCACTTTTGGGTACAATTTTCATCTCCCTGTGGCTCTGATTACATTGAATGAACTCTTGGTTATCTTTCCTAAAGGTAGGGTCAGCACAGAATATGTGACTCCTGTATTGACCAGGAAGTCCACCAATTGCTTTCCCACTTGAAGAGTTATCCAGGGCTCGGGGGGGGGGGTGGTGGTGTCGATCCCTGACCTCCTCATTGTTGAGACAACAGGGACTTTGTCTCTTTTTATAGCTTGACCTTTAACTTTGGGCCATCTTTATGCCAATGTCCCATCTCTTTGCAATATGCACATTGTTCTTTATCTAAAGGAGGCCACTGGCCTTTAACCTCCTTTTTCCCAATGCTAGTCAATCTCTTAGTTTCTTTTCCACCAAGCAATTCCAAATAGTCATCTTTTTATTTGTGGCTTCTAGTAGGGTCTCCCTTTTGTTGAAAACCTTCTGTGCTATCTCTATCAGCTGGCTGAGGGACATCCCTTCAAATCCCTCAAGTTTCTGTAACTTTTTCCTAACATGGGGGGCTGACTGAGACATGAAAGCAGTGTTAATCACTTGAGTGTTTTCAGATGCCATCGGATAAATTGGAGCATGTAATCTGTAGGCCTCTAGGAAGTGCTCCAAGAACATAGCAGGAGACTCATCAGCTAACTGTCTTACCTCACTCACTCGAGACAGATTGGTAGACTTGTTAGCAGTGGCACGAAGTGCATCTAGGAGCCTCAGGCAATAATCATCAAGAGCCTTCTTACCTCCATCTGTGTTGGGGTCCTATTCAGGTTGAGAGGAAGGGAACAGATGTTCACGTCTCTGCTGATGAGTGGATAAAGATCCACCCAGATCCCAAACTCCCTTTTGTCCTAGAGTGTAGATACGCATTCTTTCCTTGGCCATAAAAAGAATGCACAGGATCTGCTAACAGTCATCCCAAGTGGGGCTATGGGTAGAGAAAACAGATTCTATAAGGTTAATCAGAGTTTCTGGGTCCTTTGAGAAAGGGGGGTTTTGAGCTTTCCAGTTAAAGATCAGAGAAAGAGAAGGTAGTGTACAGAAACATGGAGCCCCCTCTTGGGGGTGGGAACTTCCTGCAAAGCGTACAGTGGTGCTGCTTCGGGACCTTGTTCTGGAGGTCCCTCCAGCCGAGGGTGGTGCCGGGTTTGGATAAGATGATGCGGGGAGGAGTGGTGAGTCAGAGTGGGGACTAGGGGCAGGGTATGGAGGAGGGGGCAAGGGAAGAATGTCTAGTGGGTCAGAAGAGTCTTCACTTGGAGGCAAGACTGGAGGTGAATTGTGTCCAGGTGCAGCCTCTTCAGTCTTTGTTTTCAGTTTGAGGGCTGCTAGAACTCCATCCTGAGAGGGCTTAATCCATGAGGGGGCACCACAGATTATATCTATCCAAATCTGAATACACACAATTTGGTCAGGATGAGCAGGGGGCCCAAACACATACTGGTGAACAGCCTGCGCAGGTCCCAGGTCAAAAGATCCAGAAGGGGGCCAGACCCCTTGGGTCCCCAGTGGCCACTCCTGTGTGACAAAAGTTGTTAATCTGGCCTTATGAACCTTTTCCCCATATCCCTCAGCTCATCACTTAAATTATTTGAAGTGATTTAGCACAAGGCTGAGGGGAGCACTGGAAAAAGACTTGGTCTGACCCATGGCTGGCAATGCCGCTGGTTTACTTTTCCTGTCAGGAAATTTAAGAGACAAAGACAGGGTCAGAATGAAAAGGCCAATTATTAATGAGATGAAGAGAATGGTTAAAATTGCTCTGGTTGGCTTTGGGCTTGCAGAAGTGGTTCCTAGGAGAAAATGTTCTGTCAGAGTCAGGTGACCAAAAGGACAATTAGACCACATAGACACAAAGCCAAACATAAAAGACATGACATGCTGCAGCAAAAAAATGGCCTTTGCTCAAAAAGTCAATCAATTCTGGATTTCTGTAGGAATTTACCAAGCTAGCCAATGGTGCAGTTCGCTACCTAAGGCAGAGTCACAAATGGACAGAGTGCATCACAAAAGCCAACTGACTCCGGACTCAGGAGATCCCCACACCCCAAATTGAGGGCATCCCCTCCAAAAGTACAAAAATACAAAGTGACTATGGCCCAAACAAACCCTCCAGAGTACCTACTTTCTAATGTTCAGAATTGAGTCTGGGGTCTTGTTCCCTTCCCAGACAAGACCCCAAACGTGATAGCTCGGACCCCAGAATAAAATCCAATGAAGCAAAAAATTAAAATATGGGTAGCAAAGGCTTTATTTCCAGGCCTGGGGGCACAGTCTCCTTAGGATCGACCCAAAGATCAAGCTCCTCACAGTTGGGGGGGAGAGGCTTTTAAAGCTGAAAACTGCAGGAATGTTGTAATTGCTGACACAGGTAGCATCTGGGCTTTACAGAACTTCCTGAAATTTCCTTGAAGTTAAGCATTGTCCGAAGAACAACACATTTTATTATAGACCATGGGTAGGGAAGGGGGTTAGAAGAAAATGAAACCTAAGGCTTTTACGGCCTTTCAGGAAATTGAAAGTTAACCTAGATAGATAGGAAGGGGGAAGGGGGAAAGAGGAAAGTAGAAGCAGTGCGGTGCAAACAGAACAGAAATAAGGTGCAATGGTTAGAGCTATGCTATAACAAACAATAGCTTGAAATGTACTACAGTTAACACCACCTTCCCCAGGAAGTCCAGATAGGCATCTATTACCATACTCAATGACCAGAACAACTGGACTTTTATTCCCACAAAATGCCTTGGCTCTTTCTGCATACCTTTTCAGGGTGCCTTGCTACCCTTCTGAATAATATTAGTTAAGTACCTATAAGCTTAAAGCTTGATTGTCGTTTGAGACCCACACTGTACTCACATTCTGACTTTGCTGTATAAATGACCCCTGACAATAGATCTGTAGCCTAAACACTGAAGACCACTCCTGCAAAGGCAGGGTTATTCTGTCTTTTTTCTAAGTAAACTTTTTGAACTTCTTTTGATTTGTGACTTCATTCTTCAATGTTGTGAGCCAACCAACTTGCTGCATTTGCCATCAAACAGGGTAAGATTATATTTCTCCTATTTTAATTTGAATATGAAACATCTGCTAAAGGCCATGATCCAAAGCCTTGATTTCAAGCTGCTTGTTTGCTCTGAGTTTGACATTTCCATGAGCTTTTGGACCTCCTGTCTAGTAAATTGCAGATGTATTGGAGGAAGGAGCTCACTATTGTGATGTAGCACAACAGGTCCCATTCATAACTGTATTTTTCACTGCCTCCTGGGTGCCACTTCCTGACTAGCTTTCCTCTGCCACATCATTCCATAATTCCCATTTTAGTTAAGTCAACTTTCATTCAGCTCTACTATTTTTGTTTTCTTTTAATAGTCTTTCTCTGTTCCTCGCTTTTTATATTTTTCATTTTTGTTTTTTGTTTTTAAATACATAGTCCCACTTTTAGTTCTGACTGACCTTGCACTCAGTATGTATGGTAGTCTGTCCTAGAATACATGGCCTTTCTCCTGTTTTAGCCTCTTAAATGCTGGGTAAAGAGGTGGGTATCATAACACATGGTGTTTGTCTTTTTTCTTCCCTCCTTTTCACTATTATTCTTTACTTAAGTTGACACTGTATTTAATCCAGGTGCTTGCTTGTGTCAGTAAAACTTTCTGGAGCTTGAGATCCTATTTGTGAACAACAACATAGGAATCCAAGCAGCCAAAGAATAAATTTGGAATTTAAATAGCTATGCTCAGAACCACTTCTATACACTCACCTCCCCCATTTCAAAATCTAAACAAATGGTCTTGGACTAGAAAGTTAAGAGTTTTGAAAAGAGGGAATCACAAAGAACATTCTATTGGAAACAATGTAGCTAGAATCTCATGTTAAATTTTGGCTGACACCTGTATCCTGTTTTTTTTTTTTTTTCTTTTTTTAGCAGGTTAAATTTTTTTCTTTGGCTATAGCTCATTTTGCTTTTCTCATTGGACTTATACACTGAGTGATTTTCCATTTTCCTAAGTCAAATACAAGGCACTAGTTAAATGTAGGGCTCAAGATGGCATGATTTATGCCGAGCTACAACATAGCTAGGATACAGTGCCAAGCCTTAATATTTTCTTTCTTTTTTTTTTAATTTAAGAGGAAAAAGAGAAAAACACAACACAAAACAAAGCAGTGTAAGGTTACACATAATACAGAACTACAAAAAAAAACATAACAGTAAGAAATCACCTGTTAATAGATTACATATTATCATCTTGGAAATAGTTGCTCAAATCACAGTATCAAAGAATACAAAGTAGACATTCAAACAGAGAGAATGCAAACAGCTGTGTTCAATGATCCAAAAACATTAATATAGTCAGCTATTTAACATCCCTAAACACACTTGCTGCTATATCCGTTAGAGCTCTTTTTTTTTTCCCCT